GATCGATCCGGAAGAACTTTACCGTCATCCATAACAGTTTAACAACTTTGCTTAAGTGTGTGGCGCACTTAAGGTATAGGGAACGAAGGACTTATCAAAATTTTATCTTTTTAGCATGAAAACTTTGTTCATACATGTTGCGCACTTGAGAGATTGATCGAAAAAACTTTACCATCATACATAACATTTAAGAACTTTTCTCAAGTGTGTGGCGCATTTAAGGTATAGGGCATGAAGGACTTATCAAATTTTCATCTCTTACAATGAAAACATTGTTCATGCAGTCCACTTGCTTTGGTGCATCTTGTTTGCATTGCCTTGGGCGGAAGCGAGGCCGGCGACGGCGTCGAGAGTCGGTGGGTCATCCATGACGAGCGGCCGGGAGCGCGAGTGAGAGGGAGTTTTTTTGGAAAGACTGGTGGGCCAGAGGGACGAGTAGGCGGGCGTCGCATGTGTTCGTTTCATGTCCGCGCCATCGCAAACGAGACCCAAATTTGTCCGCGCGGCGGTCCTCTTCAAGGCCGACGACGGTCACCACCAGCGTGTAAGTCGACTTTGACGGCTAACTTGCATGGCTCATACCAATAAATTATGGTTCCTGTTTTGAGCTGCTTTATTAAATGACGAAGGACATGTATGCACTACTATACTATAGCACTGCTCGTCATCACTAGACACTATGTATCGTATAACCATCGATTTGCACTTTATATCCTGGCTTGCGGTCCTCTCATGGTTGACCGCGAAGAACTTTAAAGACAGTGGACATGTGTAGCTGAAGGCGGGCCTCTTGCACTCAAGCACGGATAACTTTTATGTTATATTGATTGGTAAGTTTTTTCAATGGGGATCTTGGGAAACCAACCTATGATTATTCTGATATGGTCATCACCAGACACTACTCCCTCCGTCCGTGAATAAGTGTACATCTAGCTTTTGTTCTAAGTCAAAGTTTTAAAATTTTGACTAACTTTATAGAAAATAGTAGTAACATATATGACATCAAATTGATATATTATCAAAGTACATTTCAAGACGAATCTAGTGATACTAATTTGGTGCCATAAATGCTTTTACTTTTTCCTATAAAGTTGGTCAAAGTTGTAAAACTTTGACTAAAGACAAAAGCTAGATGTATACTTATTCGCGGACGGAGGGAGTATGTCCTGCATAACCATCGATGCACACTTTATATCCCCTTATAGTCGGCGGTGAAGAACTATAGAGACAGTGGACATGTGTACCTGGCAGGCCTCTTGCACTCGAGCACGGAGAACTTTTATATTATATTGACCAGTAAGTTTTTTCATTCGTGGTCTTGAGTAACCAACCTTACAATTCTTGTGATATTGTTATCACTAGACACTGCATTCCGCATAACCCTCGATGTGCACTTTATATTCTCGGTTGCGGACCTCGTGTCGTCTACTCCATAGACCTTTAGAGAGAATTGACATATAAATAAAAAAACTCTTAACAGAACCTTAGCGTTCATTTGTACTGTTTCCATAATGTTCAAAATATTTTTTGTGTTATACAAAATATTATACATCCTTCAAAACTTCAAAATGTTTTATTTACATCAATAGATTCATTTGTATTTTTTTCACAATGTTCTAGAACTTCAGAGATTATGTGCTTATTTTTCAAAAATCCGTCCTCCATTTAGATGGGGTCCCAAAGCACGTACAACTCAAGGAGTACTTGTCGTGTACGTGAAGTAATGATGAACATTACTCGCCAAAAAAAGTAATAATGAACATTGTGCTTTGAATAATAGCGTATTTTTCAAAAATAGAGTTTTTCTTCATATCGGCGTGCAAAACTTATGTGGCGCTTTGCATTGTCGATGTCTCCAAATTTCCAGTCCAAACCAATGTACAATTTCTTTTATGTTTTTGAATTAGTTGTACATGGTGTCAGTGGTTCTTTTGGACTAACTAGTAAGCATTTTTTATTACCTGAAACAGAATACTCCAAAGCTTGCTGATATAATCTAAAGAGTACAAAGTACTCCCTCCGTTCCCAAATAATTGCCTTTGTAGCCATCTCAAATGAAATACAACATACAGATGTATGTAGACATGTTTTAAAGTGTAGGTTCACTCATTTTGCTCCGTATGTAGTCACTTGTTGAAATTTCTAGAAAAATAATTATTTAGGAACGGAGGGAGTAGAACTTTGTTCTCGTACTTCAAAGAACCTTTTAGCACCTGTGTTTTAAATTTGGCCATATCACATTGCACGCGCTCCATACAATTTGCACAGTCCGTGGATAAATTAATATTACCAGTCCATACAGTGGGCAGATAAATTGGTATACTAGTACTACTAGTACAGATCCTAAGCTCTGCCACATAATAAAAGGAGGACGGAGGGATAGATGCACGTGAAGGACCTGACAACAACATAGACCTGGTCCCACCACCTGTCCTGGAATACAGCTCCATATACTCGCTGCCGAGAATCATGGGAGAGTTGGAATACTCTGCGGTGCTGACAACGCAGCGGGCCTTGTTGATTTGACGTCCCGTGGATGCGCGACTCAGGTATCCGCTGTGAATGGAACGCGCTGGTAAAAAACCGCCTTCTCATGTGCATTCATGCACGGCTCAAATGTTCCGAACAATTTCATGCCTTTTCCGGGGCAAAGGAAAAATTAAAGGGTTTAGCTGCTGCCTGCCGCAAGCGCCATGCAGTCCAATGCAATGTCCTTCCATCGTTCAGTTAGCACACACCTACGTACTCGCTCGGCCTGCAATTCTTCATGGAACTGTATAGACCGCTCCCCGTTAAGCTCCCACGCACATCAGTTGCCGGCGTCCATCCTCTGCAGCAACAGATTATGTAAGGTAAACATTATGTCTACACAACTGCTCAATTTAAGTTGCACATTGCAATATCGGAGGAAATCTGACATACATGTCTTGACTACACACGCTAGCACCCGCCACATGCACGTCAACATACAGCCCCAGCCAGCTCGGAGGGTAGAGCTGAGGCCAAGTGCCATCGCCGCCCTGAGGCCCCATGTGCGGGCATGTGCGCGCGTCTTGTCCTTACCTCCGGAGCACCCTTGTCTGCAACTTAATGTCCAAAGCTATTTTTGCCGGTGACCATGGCACGGGAGCCAGCCAGCTCAGTAAGATTATGCTATCATCATCATATGCTTGAGACTTTGGGAGACGTTAATTAAGCAGCAGGCTTGTGGACATCTTGGATCATACTTGTCCATCCTGTATCCACAGTTCCATACACAGCATACGACAACACGGAATGATAATACGTACAGCTAAGGGCCTAAGGCACAGGCAATTTGTGATGATGAGACGTTTGAGATGTCTTTATATACGCAAGTGGGCATGTGTTGTGCTGTACTCCGCACCTTATATAGCTCAGCTCCCTTTCAACTTTTGGAGCCATTTATGTGCGATCATGACATGTGAGCCAGCTCACTATTGTATCATCATGCGCTTGGGAGACCTTAAGCTTGTGGACATCTCGTGTCCTACTTGCAGGCGCCGTCGAGGTACCTGCCCTCCACCCCGACCCCATGCCGGGGGGCTGGTAGAGATGACATCGGATGGAGAAAACTCTGGATGACTCGCTCATCCCGACGGGGGCAACAACCAAAGTCACTGTTTTCCTCCTTGCAGGTGCCGTCGAGATCCCTGCCCTCGATCCCGCCCGGGTGAAGACCCAAAATCTCCTTGGATTGGGCAGCGGCAGTACTGCTTGTGCCGTGCCTTTCTTGGAGGCGTCGCTTGGGGCGTTTGGGTGCGCGGTTAGAGGAACTACATACGGAGGGGATGGGAGCAGTGGCAGTACGTGGTGTTTGCGAAGGAGGAGCGTCGTGGCATCTGGCACATCGAAAACGTTGGGTCTCGGCGGCATGGAGCAACGGGGTCTCGGCGGTGGGCGTGTGATGATGGACGAGTGCAGGATGATGGCATTGTCTCACATCATGGTGGCGTCGACGGCAGCTAGGCCTGGCAAGGTCGATGCATCAGTACAGCTCTAAAGATGGATCGGTGGAAGACGGTGGCGGTGGCCTCTGAGAGTGCTCCTGACGGCCCCAAACCCGGCAATGTGGCTTGGTTGGGGCCTCCGGTTTTTTATGTTAGATCTGGTGTGAGGTCTGTTTGGTATTCGGCCCGGACTATCGACACCCCTTCATCAAGTGGATAGGAGTAGCGACAGATGTTGCCAAAATGGTGGCTTCAGACGTACTGAGATACTCCCTCCGTTTTTGTTTACTCTACGTACTAGAGTTGACTAAAGTCAAACTTCGTAAAGTTTGTTCAAATTTATAAAAAATACAAACATTTATTATAACAAATACAATTGTATTAATTTGTTATTGTACACGTTAATATTTTTGTTTATAAATGTTGTCAAACTTTACAAAGCTTGACCTTTGACTAAAGCTAATACACAAACTAAAGAAAAGAAGGTAGTATTACTTTGAAAGGCATTTTTGAATAATTAATAAAATGGCTACATGCATCGTCCAGATGCAGAAGCGGGGGAAGTTCCTCCTTTTCAAAAAGAATCTCGGGTCTTACTTGTCCGTTCTACGTTCATGCATAGCATACGACAAGACATCATCATCATGGAAAAATAATAGCACGTCGACAGCAGGGAAGAATGTGCTCGCCGGTCGCAATTAAATGCCATTAGCATGTGGTTCTGTACTTTTGAGCTTCAAGTCGCCGACACAAGGTATACATCATGAAAAGGAGGAGCATTAATATCCAACATCAACAGTAAAGATCATTCGTGCATGAGTGAGAGATTATGATTCAGACGACACATGCTATATGGCACCATGTTGAATTAAGGTGTACTACTTAGTGACACCACATGCCGGAGACCAGTCCTATTTAAGCAGCAGGAGCGCCCATGTTTCTGCGCCAGCAAGTACATCATATCATCCATCGACATTACTAATCACAGCAAGTACATCCTGTCTTTGCTCCAGCAAAAGAACAGAAACAACCATGCAATGTCCTAGAACCAGCACCAAGTCCTTCAAGCAGGCATTCCTCAAGAACCTCCTCCTCAGCCTCCAGCTACAGGCACACCCGAACACGTCCTTTGGCGGCAGCACTAGCCTCCACGAGAGGAAGCGCGCCGTCAAGTCCTCCGTGGTCGTCGCTATGGCGACTGCACACGGTGGTGGAGCGAGATGGCCCAAGGCCATCTTGGCTCCGGCGTCCAGAGCGTGCAAGGTACAGATGTGCCGGAGGATCGTGAGGAGGTGCCGCGGCTGCAAGAGGAGCTACGTTGCGGGGAGGCTCCTGAGGAGGAGGACCATGGCGCTGAGGGAGGTGATACCGGGAGGCCGGGACGCCACAGTCGACGAGGCCACCCTTCTCCGTGAGGCCATGGACTACGCCGTTCACCTGCGTGCTCAGGTCGACGTGCTCCGCCAGCTCTCCGAAGCCGTGAAAAGATCCAGCTCCATGGCTCGGCTGGTACGTCAAAAGTTTTAGTTGCTTAATTCCATTTACTGCTAAGTTTCATTGTGTAAGTAACTAATAGGTCGCTCAACGGGGCGTGCAGTGATTCCTGATCTTTGTGTACACTTGGAGAAAAAGAGGCATTATTTAGTATGATGCGGTGGCGTGCCGGTGCCTTTGCAAAAAGAAAGACATGGTCTCCAAGATGATTGATGATCAGGGAGTGGTGAAGAATATATATCAGGATTTTCTCTTGTTCTTTTGGGAGGAGGCGCCACTTTTGTAGTGGCACACACTCTCTAGGCAGCGGGACACCGATCGGCTAGGCGGAGTGATAAATCTTATAGTGGCAGGCCGTCAACTCGCTTCGGCTCTTAGCCGTTGATCGGTTTGCTCCGACGAGCCTTTGTATCCCCTTTATTTTTTATTTTTTATTTCGGGTTGCATGAAATAACTCCACCAAGCAGACCATTTTATCTTCTTCTCTGCATTTGACTTGTTGTATAGAAGCGGTGCTTTATCTATAAAGTGGGGGAAAATCATGTTTCAAGAGGATAAATGTTGAGCTGGAGGAGAGTGAAATGAGAAAGAAATAAAAGGACTTGTTTTCTCTTAATTAAGACATGATCTCTAGCAATGATATCCCTCACCATATTTAGGTATTCTGTAACGATAAGATTAAGAGTTAACTCATTGTACATCACATTTTTATAGCCTTTTTAAAATTATGTGGCAAACTTAAGATAAGACAGTCTTACCAACCAATATAGATGGTCTTAAGTTATACACACTATCACCCACCTTATCGATGAGTTATTATCACATTTGTTTCATCCTTAGATCCCAATCATCCTGTGTATATATAAAAAGCTCCCATCTACCATGGTTAGCAATGACCAGATAACGAGGAGTGGACTAAAAGTGTTACATATATGCCATTTATCTCAAGTGAGCTAGCCACCGTCGAGGTAGTAATCCTGGAAGAAATTCCCCTCGGTACTACTCTTTTGAAGTCAAATTTCATTGAAATTCGTAACATATATTATACCACACACTATCGAAAATGTTTTGGATTTGGGAGGCATTAGGGAATATTTGCTTGTGTGTGTGTGTGAGGTGTTGCACTACATCTCTACACTCTGCACCATTGCTCAATAATGTTCTGATGCATGGAAAGAACAGGCTAGAAGAAATTATAGAACAAGGGTAATTATAGTCCTCTTGTTTGATCACGTAGCATGGGCGGTAACCTATCTCAAAGCCGGTCGATGTTTCTTCAGCGATTTCTATATCTCGTTTCGACCGGCAAGTGGCTATTGAGGTCTTTAATGCTTGGCATGGCAAGTGCCCTTGCGTATGGGCCTTTCTTCCTGTTAATTGAGTGCACTTTTCAATCTTCCGCCAGAAGGAAGAAGAAGACTAGTATATTTTTAAATGTCATTTTAATTTTTTACAAGTCTTTCTGCCTCCTATTACCTTTCCATTATACTGGCTATTGTCTTCCTTAATAATTATCGGATCTAAGAGCATCTACCTCTCCCCGCTTTGTCCATATAAGTCTGGGACAACCCCAGGGGCGGAGCCAGGATTTGGGTATAGGGGGGGCCGAGCAAAGTAGAAAAAAAAATCCAGTGCAAAAGATAATTACAGAGAGCAAGGTTGATAACTTGCACAACGGCCTCCTTAACAATTTTAGTAAGTTGAGAATTCGAAGCAACCAGCTTAGAAAATAATTGATCTTAAAGGTGTTTGGCAACAGGTTATTTTCTCTTCGTAGTTGAGGAATTTCAATTTCAGAAGGAACCAGCTTGGAACCAAATTAATTTTAATGGTGTTTGGCAGGGCATTTTCTCTTCATAATTGAGCAATTTCAGTTTCATAATTAGCTATACTGTATACGGTTGACATAGAAATTTTTCGCATCACAAATAGGAACCGATACAAGATAATTTGGATCACGATAATTTGTGGGATACTTACACAATGTGAATTCTTGGTAGCATCTCAAATCTAAAAAGAAACTAAAATCTATGTACAGTTTCAAATTTCAACACTGATACGAGATGAGAGTTGAGAGAGATTAGTAGTGTGATATGTTAACCTGCTAATTCGTCGTATGAATCAGATAGTAAGTAGTAGGGCAAGGAGATCAAAGGCAGACGGTGGCAAGGGCACACGGCAGCCGCAGCCGCAGCCGCGTCTAATCCCATCAACTACACACCAATCACGGATGAAAGAGGCATCTCAGGAGATTAGTTTTTTTAAGCAGTATCTCAGGAGATTAGATCGGAGGCTACAGCCCATATGGCCGCTAGTGGGCTCTTTTACTATGGGCTTTTTACTCCTTTATCTAAATACACGTACAGAACCTGAGATAGGGGGGGCCAAGTATGCTTGTACTTGCGATCGTATCGCTGATTGCCTAT